ACACACACACACACACACACACACACACACACACACACACACACACACACACACACTCACACACAATAAACACTAAATCTGGCTGGATTCCTTCACAGGACCGTGCCTCGGACGCTCAGAAGTTTTCATTCTGCTCGGTCTCAGGTTGAATGTGTGGCTCTGTTGACCTTGGCTGGACYCTTTACAGGAAGCACAGATGGAAGTTTCCGTTGTGTTACGTTGTTTCCTTTTGACGGCCCACCTGCTCACAGCAGGCACAATCATCATCATCATCATGAAATTGTCTGCTTTGATGTGGCTTTGACTCTAACATTCCCAATCATGACTCAGAAAAACACAGAAGTGCTTTTTTTTAAACTGTGTGTGTGGGGGTGGGAGTGGGGGGGGGGTCCTGAACTCCTCTGCCTTCATTTTACTGAGTCAGCAGTCAGTAAACAGTTAAACCATGCTACTTTATCTCCTCAGGAGCAGCCTGAGGCATCCCTCTCTGTTCAGTCCTGCTGCAAATAGTTTTCCTCATAAACTCTCAGGAAGCTTTCAGCCGCTGTGATTTCAGCTGAAGAACAAGACAGAAGCATCCTGTTCATGTTTGAAACTAAACTTAAAATAGACGTTCAGACACTATTTATATTTACAACCCTAACCTGTTGCTCTGTGTGAAAAGCTTCCTGTCTTACAAACAGAAAACATGAGAGTAAACCATTTTTCAGACGCTCGGGTCTTTTGAAAACGTTCCATGTTTTACGTGTCGACCCGGACTGATGTTCTCTCCTGGCGATCCCGTTCAGGTGCAGCTGGAAGGCGGGCGGCACCAGTACCGGCCCGTCATCATGGCGCTGACAGAAAAAGACATCCTCCTGTTTGAGTCGGTGCCGTGGAGCCGAGAGTCCTGGTCCATGCCCCTGCTCACGCACCCAGTGCTCGCCACCAGGTAAACACAAACAGGACAACATGAAGGAGAAAATCCAGGATGTGTTTAGTTGTTTCACACAGAGGTTCATGCTTGATAACAACGCCTCGGAAATACAAATTTGTGGGTAAACAGTCAGCTGACGGCTTTAGTTAGGYAAGTCCCTAGAAGTTTTCAGACTTCTGCTTTTAGAAAACTCCTCACAGTAAAACAACTCTGTGGAAACAGAAATATGTCATCTATAATAAGAAACTTTACTCATCATCTAAATGGGTTTTTCTCTCTTCCTTGTAATTAGACAGCTAGATCCTTGTTGTTTAAATATTATTTTCATTTTGTGTTGCTCTGATTTTTCGCTGATTCTTTTAGTGCATAAAAAGTCATTTTTATCAGTCTGTGAAATTAAACCAACTTTATGAATTTAATGTGATGTTTTTATGTCTTCAGACTTTGTGAAACAAACAAAAAAATGTAAAGAAAAAAGGACTACTGAGCTGTTTGAGGAAAGAGATTTGTCACTTCAAACATATTTTATAATCCCTCCTCTGTCCTCCGTCCTGTCTCGCTGCAGACTGGTTCACTCTGGAAGCGCTCAGGGTTCTCCCTCCCGGGATTCAGAGCTGGTGTTTGCCACCCGGACCGGCACCGGGCGGGGCGTCGAGTCCCACATCTTCAGAGTGGAGACCCACTGGGAYCTGTCCACGTGGACCCGGGCTCTGGTGCAGGGGGTGCACGCTGCCGCCGAGCTCATCAAAGAAGTCTCCATTGGTGAGTGACGGAGCAAACACAGACCTGCAGGAGGGTTTCAGTGACTGTAAAATAATTTATGTAGTTAGTGGTTCCATAATAAAATCTAAATATACTTTAGAATTTAGATTCAAGAAATATTTAGATAAGCAGTTGAACCATATGTGTATATGCTCAAAACTGTGAGAAATTAGACAAATTTTCTGTTTTGGTCTCATTGAATTTCCAGTTTTTGAGCCGTGTAGCTACGATTTTAGCACCAAGTGCAGCTCAGATTAACTTTGCACCAAAACGTGTTTAAAAAAACTTGTCATGATTTGTTTATGAACTGTTKAGGTGTAAATGTATTTTCCAGTTTAGTGTTTCAGAACACATTAAAARACGTCATAAGAACTAAAGCGATGAGACAAACCTCGAAGAAGCCACAGAGCCGACAGTACAGCTTTTCCTTTCAGCTGCTTGTGTTTGTTTTACACTCGGTGTGTTAAACAGCCGGCCTGTGAGCAGCCGTGTGGTGTAAACAAACCTTCATTCAGAGGATGTGGCTTCATCTTTTTTCTATGGCATTATGCTTTAAGATAAAGAGTAGTTTTCTGAGAATTAGAAATGCTCATAAACAACAACAACAGTAGACAAATTCCTCTTAAATCTGCGAGCTCACGTGTTTTTGTATGAATGTGTCAGAGAGCTGTGATGGTGACAGGAAGCTGCTGACAGCAGATCAGCTCTGTGACAGGAGGCAGCAGAGCCAATGTTTCTTCTCTGCACAACAATAGTTGGCTGCAGGAACAGTTCTGGAAAAACTCTGGCCTTTTTTTTTTTAACTCTGTTTCCCCGTCCTGCTGCTGGACAAACACACAGTTGTGCAGAAACATTCGAGCCTCTCAGGTTACAGAAATGAACCTTCGGATGTAACRATCCTCTGCAGCTGAGGCTGATGGTAAAAAAATAAACACGTCTTTGTGCCGTACTTGTTGTGTTTAAATTATTATATCTTTTTTTTTTCTTTCAGGCTGCACGTTGAACAGACAGGATGTTCGGCTGATGCTGCACTACGAAAACGGCTTCACCGTGACGAGGGAGCCGGTGGATCAAACCGGGGGAGCCGTGCTCTTCAGGTACCCCTACAACAAGCTCAAAATGTCCGCTGACGATGGAATACGGAACCTCTACCTGGACTTTGGTGGTCCGGAGGGAGAAATGGTAAGTTTGTAAAAAGAAAAGAAAAACTTAAAAGTATTGTTACATCCAACAGAGACAGAGCGTGTGTATCTGYTTATCTAACCTGCAGGTGTTCGACCTCCACTCGGGTCCGAAGCCGGTGGTCTTCGTCCTCCACTCCTTCCTCTCAGCCAAGCTCGCACGTCTGGGCCTCCTGACGTGAAGCGACAAGCCACGACAACGCAAACAAAAGAACTTCTTTTACAACTGATCACATTTCATMCAGTTTTCCAGTTCACGGCTGCGGGCGGGCCTGAGGCGGCGGCGACGCTGCGGCGAACGTAAAAAACGCCCACAAACGTGCCTTCCAGTTCCCCCTCATCCTCCACCTTCATCTGTGCTGCGACTCTGCGAGCTGAGGTGAAACTGAGGACAGCTTGGCTTCAACTTGTGAAGATTAAGACTTTTTCAACAAGAAACAAAACAGGAGTCATAACATTCCACAGAAAAATGTTTTAAACTTTAAGTGAGGAAAAGTAAGATGCACTCGAAGTAAAGAAGAGTTTTTAGGCAGATAACAGAGTTTAAAGGTAAACACTCTTCTCTGCCTATCATTCCGTACAGCCTTCCAGTGTCACTTTGTTTGTTGCCTCATCATCTGAGGAAGATGCTGTTTTACACTCAGACACAGTTTCCTGAACGAGGACTGAACCGGACCACATCAGTGTGTCTGCACACCGTCACAAACTACTGGTCGTAATCAGGTTTGCCGACTGTGCCTTGTTACACTGAGTGAGCGACACTCCACCATGTTTTCTATTTGCTTTCATATAATAAGAGGTTTTAAGCTTTGAACACATAGAATCACTCAAAACCATGTTACTGTGTTTTTAACATCCCTGATAGCAGGACTTCCTGACATTGAAATGTAACAATTCTTTGTTTCCTCTTGTCGGTACACTTCACTTCAATTTTATTTTTCTTGTTTTCAGACAACTTTTCTCCACCAGGGAAATGGTTTAAAGGCATCAGAAAGGTTTGCACATAGAAGGAAATCCAGGGGGCTGTCTGAGGGGTCTGCACTCACAATTTTTAAAAATCAGAGATGATCCCTTTCAATAAATTATTTGTAGAACCTATACTTTTAATCAATTTTTAAAAAAGCATGTCCACCATTTATATAAGCAAAACAAAACATTTATACCTTTGATAAATAATTAACCTAAAGCCTGGTTTATACTAAAATATGACATGAGGCAGTGGTGCTTATGTAGTTTCAAATGTCTTTTTTTTTTTTGACGTGGCGGGGGATAAATCATAATTTCTCCCTCTCCCCTCCCACAGCACKAACAGAAGCACAGTGCAGAGCTAAGCATATAAAAAGTGATAGATTGTTTTCACTCAACGATGAATCACTGCTGTGTTGGGTGAAGAGTCGAAGGAGGAAAAATCATTATTATTATTATTATTATCATTATTATTATTGTCCCCCCTAAAATTTGCTTTTATTAAATTTGAAACAGCATCATAGGACAGAGCTACAGATCTCTTCAGTAACAGCTTCATACTTAGTTTCTCTCTACAGCCTCTGTTGTTTTGGGCTTCACTGACTTCACACCATAGGAAAACAAAACAACCCTTTCTGTATTCCCTCCTGCCCGAAAGACCTTTTTCTGTTGTAAAGTCAATGTTTGTCTAATAATTTAAATTGACTTTTAAATGAAACTGAAAGCACAGCATTGTATATTTCCTTTTTTCAGGCTTGGTTAATTCTGTTAAAGCAGAAGTAGACTACTTCCCTTTAAACGTCACAACGCTTTAGATAAAGTCAGCTCAAAACAGTTCCTGTTACATTTCATAAAGCTTGTGATTTTGTTCGATTTTATTTTGTCAGTCATGTTCTTGTCGCCTGATCTTACTCTGTTATCTTGGTCAATCTTAAACAAGCTTCAGGCCGTCCAGTTTTCACTCGAGTGCAGTAACATGCAAATCCTGTTAAACCTGTGAATGTACACCTTATCAACACCTTCACTCTTTTTCGGAAATTATGGCTCTGTTGTCTATGCAAATTAATGCTTCAAAGAAGTTGTATTTTTAACCAAAGGTATTATTTGTGGCAGCTTGCGTCCTGTACAATCACAAAACTGAAATCCACAAGAGGATAAAGTGCTGCTGCAACAACTTGTCATATACAAAGTATTTTAGATTCCTAACAGTATACAACGTGTAATAGTTATGTAGTTATCTAAAGTGTAAATACCTACCAATAAATTGTTGGTGAATACATATGGCTTGTGACGTTTCTTTATAATTCATGTTATTTAGAATAGTGTTTATTATATAGCTTACCGCATTACAAAATCTATTTGTCAGTACATGTGTTAAGACCGTTTAGGTAGTCTGTATATGAATTATTTAAAAATCTAAACCATTTGATATGTCAGTTTAAACTTTATCAATTTATGCTTTAAGTCTATTTTACAAAAATGTACAAAAACTAGTTAATCCCTTGAGTTCATGTGGTTTTTCTGTTTAAATGACAGTCTTCGGTATGTGAATAAAATATTTAGTAATTACAATAACATTTATTTGCATTGTTTTATACCATTAATAACTAAACCTGTCTGTTTCTGTGTCCTACATTTTTGGTTTGTTATTTTATTTTTGGATCGGAAAGCAATCACGTTAAAAGTTTTGGTTGTAACAGTTGTCGCCACTAAGTGGCAGTAACTAAAATACATGTCATTCAATTGACATTCAACCGGATATTATCAGTTTCAGTTTAAAAAATAAAAGCACAGGTATACGTTTTTGTTATATTTTACAAAAATATTCTAATATATATATATTTTAGCAATAATATTGGCTATGATTTATTTGTGACTATTTTGTCAGATATCAGTGTTTGGTATACGACTGACGTTTTCTACAAAACTTTGAAAATTTCAACCGGAAACATCTTAAAGTCGTCTAATAATTAGCTGGAAGCTGCTGCAGTGCTGTTGCTAGCGCATTAGCTACTGTTTCTGTATTGTCATGTAACGAATAACCTGTGCCCTTAAAAATAGAGGCTCTCATAGTTTGTTTTCCCGTATCCACCTGTGGGGACTGTCAGAAAATAGAAATCAGAGAGCCGAAGAGTGAGATGAAATGACAACGTCAACATTACAGGTAGGCATGCTAACGTTAGCTTGCTGTACACAAATGCCAGCAGCAGCTGAGCTTGTGTTCGGCTTTTAGAGCCAACTTTTGAGTTTTACACAAGTTGACGTGTTTATATTTTGTCTCGCAGGTGCCTATCAAATCCACAAAGACTTATCAACTTTAARAAAATATGCTTTAACGATAGATGAAAGAATTATTCAACTTGTGCCTCTGATTTAGAACCATGATAAAAGATGTCATTACTCTCACTGCGTGTTTATTTAGACAGCCCATACTAAAATAACTGCAACATCTAGCTCTGCAACCTACTTTTCCCTCATGCATTAATTTAGGGTATAAAAATAAAACGACTATGTAACAATTTATTATTTTATGTMTTTTTATGTCGGATATCTGACAGATCGCATATTCTGTCAGGACTTTTTATAAACTGTAAAATAAGGAAAACAAATATAAAATAAATGTTCTTGAATTTACAATTGGGYAATGAAATCCTTGAGTATGCTGGGGAAACAGAAAATGTTTCCATTGTAAAACATCAGAAAGTTGCGTTTTCCAGAAAAGAAAATGCAGCTCACCCAGGCAGCTAATGTTGTTAGCATGCTAGTTAGCATGTCCAATAGACACTCCCTCCAGTAAATGTCTTGTTTTGATGTTAATTTATATATTTACTGTCCAGGTACAGCCTGGCGGTTTACAGAACAGTGATACTGATAACTGTAGGTCATAAATGGGAAAATTTAAATCTTTGTTATAAGATAAAATGTTGGCATGGCTGTGTTCTTTGGTCAAATAGCAAAACAGGATGTTTTAAATGCTACAATAAATGTTACAATATTGAATATAAATGTGAACTATTTGTTTCCATTTCACACTTGTCCGTCATTTCTGTGTCTCTCCTGCAGAAAGCAATTGATCTTGTCACCAAAGCCACAGAGGAGGACAAGGCAAAGAATTATGAAGAGGCCTTGCGCCTGTACCAGCATGCTGTGGAATATTTCCTACACGCCATCAAATGTAAGTGTTGGGATTGTTAACACCTAACTGTAACTGAGGTGGTGTTGAATAATGAACTTGGCTGAACTGAATCTTTGGTGTCCAGATGAGGCCCACAGCGACAAGGCAAAGGAGAGCATACGAGCCAAATGCATGCAGTACTTGGACAGAGCGGAGAAACTGAAGGACTACCTGAAGAATAAAGACAAACAGGGCAAGAAGCCCGTCAAGGAGGCACAGAGCAATGACAAGTATGGTGTCGCTCTCGTTCAGTGTTAAATATAATCCCATTTTTATTGTGTTTTCATGTTTTCTATCTGTTCTGTCTTTTGTTTCAGGAGTGACAGTGACAGTGAGGGCGAAAATCCAGAAAAGAAAAAACTGCAGGAGCAACTTATGGGTAGGTGGACTTGAAATTTATCCAATTTGAGAATCCTTTTCTCTTCTGGTCCCACTTTCTGTCTGTAATTGTCTCAGCAAAATATGTRGGAAGATGTTTCAAATACTGAAAATATACAAGTTTTTTAAAGTAATGTTGGTTGTGTGCTTCTAGGTGCTATTGTGATGGAGAAACCAAACGTTCGGTGGAACGATGTAGCTGGACTGGAGGGAGCAAAGGAAGCTTTAAAGGAAGCGGTCATCCTCCCCATTAAATTCCCTCATCTCTTCACTGGTACTCTTTAACTCTGTTTACATCTTTTATTTATATCTTCTGCTGCATACCAGTATAGTTCAAAGCCATTTTGTGATTTACAAACATGGATTAGAAAAGAAAAGCATACTTTGTTAAAGCCCTTTGTCTGCCTTCATTTCAGTATTTCTTTATTTTCAGGGAAGCGAACTCCATGGAGAGGAATCCTGCTGTTTGGTCCTCCAGGAACTGGAAAGTCCTACCTCGCCAAAGCTGTGGCCACCGAGGCCAACAACTCCACCTTCTTCTCTGTGTCCTCCTCAGATCTCATGTCCAAGTGGCTGGGAGAAAGCGAGAAGTAAGTTTGTACCTCAGAAGCAGCCGATCGACGTGATATTTGAGAGAAAAATGTCCAACAAGTTGGAACAAGGATGACAAGAAGGTTGTTTTTTTTTTTTTTTAAACATTGGTTTTCTGTTTTCTTCGTCTCTACCAGACTGGTGAAAAACCTGTTCGACTTGGCTCGCCAACACAAACCCTCCATCATCTTCATCGACGAGGTGGACTCGCTGTGCGGCTCCAGGAACGAGAACGAGAGYGAGGCAGCTCGTCGCATCAAGACAGAGTTTCTGGTCCAGATGCAAGGCGAGTCGAACCGAAAAAACAGCACAGTGAATGGCTGTGTCCAAAACGGCAGGACGGGTCCTCCGAAGGTCGAATTTGTCGGCCGCATACGTCACAGCGCCGCGACGAAGGACGTCCAAAACGGAAGACTCCTCCGATGCGTCCGACAAATACGTCCTTCTTTTTCCCCGAATCGAAGGACAGGTCCGATGGATCCTTCCCGGCCCAGCATATCCCAGAATGCATTGCGGCCCGACCGGAGATTTTTTTAAGCTAGTAATGGTGGACGAAGCGAGAGAAAAGAATACGTTTTAAATAAAAATATGGTGATTTAAAAATTAAAAAAAATTAGCGGTTGTAATTCTAATACTTTTATCATTTGTATGGACATGTTTTTATATATTATTTTTTCATCATAAAAAACGCGAAATAAACATGAACGTACAGCGGGTCAATTAGTTCTTCAAATGATACCTTTAAGTTAATTTCATAGTTTTGTGATATTAATAATGCTAATGTGTTGATATTTTTCTAGTTTTGATTTAAGTTTGCTTGTTTAGCGTCGTCACAGTTGCTAGGTGACAAGACGTACGCCGGGGTAAGGAGGGGAGGCTAGACCGTCCAAATCCACAGCCTCTTTTTTTCCGGTCTTCCCGGTCTACCAAGGACCCGGCCCTCCGAGACCGGGGAGTCTGGGTCCTCCGGAGGACCCGTCCTGTCGTTTTGGACACAGCGAATGTCCAAGATTTATTCACAATAAATTTATATTTTGTTTAGTTCTTACTGGATAAAGTAAAAATATCCAGAACATTTATTTTATGCCTGTAAAACAGTTGAACAGAAAATATAATAATGTGGATAATAAATGTTAAAACTCATAATATTTGGGCAAAACAGGATTATTCAAACAAGATACTTAACACACTATTTTCTCTCTTTCTACAAATGACTGTAGTTTTTTTTTTAACTATTTTATTTAATTTTTTCTCTTTAAGGTGTGGGCAACAACAACGATGGTGTTTTAGTGCTTGGAGCCACCAACATCCCCTGGGTGCTTGATGCAGCCATCCGCAGAAGGTCAGACTTTACTTTAAACATAATTTGTTTTAGTTTTATCCTCTCTTTGAACCTGGTTTTGTACATTTAGTTTAATCAGCCTCTGTTTGTTAGTTTTGGGGTGTTACCATGTAATCTGATGGGTTTTGAGTTTGAGGTCTGAAAATAGAAGGAAAAAAAATCTACAACCCTTCATACTATGWTTTAGTCATGACTTCAAAAGCTAAACACAACAGATTAGCACATTTAAATGTCTAAAACTTGTTTTTTGTGACAAGTTTGTGTTTTTGCAGAACATCTGTGCCAGAAAATATCTTCAGATTCTTAAACTACAGTCGCGTCTAATGCCGGGACTAATGAAACTTTCGGTGCAGGATGTAAAAGAATTAAAATTTGTTCTTGCCAGATTTGAGAAGAGGATTTACATCCCTCTGCCGGAGGAGCCGGCTCGGGCTCAGATGTTCCGCCTCCATCTGGGCAACACGCCACACAGCCTGAGCGACGCCGACCTGCGGGAGCTCGCACGCAAAACGGACGGCTACTCGGGCGCAGACATCAGCATCATCGTCAGAGATGCTCTCATGCAGCCCGTCAGGAAGGTCCAGTCAGCGACTCACTTTAAAAAGGTGAGCGGCGGAAACGCTTTCATCTTTGACGTTCAAACATTCCTCGTGACTTAATAATAAGGAGCTTTTTTTTTCCTCGCAGGTTCGTGGTCCGTCCAGAAGCAACAACCAGGTGATGGTGGACGACCTCCTGACCCCGTGTTCCCCTGGTGACCCCGCGGCCATAGAGATGACCTGGATGGATGTGCCTAGTGATAAACTCCTGGAGCCCATAGTCTGCATGGTGAGACACTGTTCAGTATTTTATTTTGTCAAGTTTCTACTCTTTAAAGAGCTGCGATGTTGAACCAGTCATCAGTAGCTGCCTCCTTCAGAACCTGTAAAGTTAAAAAAGTGAAAAAAAAAWATTTTTTTTTTGGGTCTGTCTCCCTCCAGTCGGACATGCTGCGTTCTTTGTCCACCACCCGTCCAACAGTCAACACCGAAGACCTGCTGAAGGTCAAGAAGTTCACAGAGGACTTTGGGATGGAGGGCTGAGAAACCCCGCCCCCTTTTCTTGTCTCATCCACCATAAGGCTCCAGTAACGACGCTCCCCGCCCTCGCCTCCTCACCCGTTTCATCATTGCTGTGTAATCTCTCAGCTGGACTCTTGGTTTTCTGCCTTTCATGGATGTAAAAAGAAAGGAAAAATCTTAGTTCGTGACTTCTACCCACCCTGGCCAGGATTTTAAAATCCCCCCGCAGGAAGCTTTACTGAAAGCCACGTTAGAAAATCTGATTCTGTAGTTGGACAGTAACTCTTGCCCCTCCCTCCCAGAATCTTCACTACATGAACTCTGCTGCGTTTCACGTGAGGAAATACGTCAAGTTTTCCGTCTCTGAGCCGATTCCGTCTCTGCCTGAAGGACTGTATATTTTGTTGCCGTTGTGCACTTTGCTTTCCAGACGTTTGATGAGGCAACAGAAGTTTGTTCTCCACCAGGCATGCAAGCGTGTGAGTGCATCTAAGTGTTTTTACCAAACTGTGTGTCCTAATGTTTAATGTTAGAAGCCTGGTGTTTTATTTAATGTCCAGTTAAAATAAGTGTGTCTGGATCAGGACTGAACCTCCAAGGTAGAAACAATCTTGACTGAAGGATTTTCAAAATAAGAGATGTGCTTGACTGATAACTTAACTCAATCCAAGCAAAGACTTTAATCCCATTATGAGTTGGATAAATTTTGTTTTTGTCCTCCATCACAGGGAAACGAAAATCACCAGCTTTTTGTAAGAAACTCAGATATTTGAATCCTAAATTTGAGGAAAACGTTGCAGTTCAGAAGAATTTATCCTGGAGTTTTAGTTCACATCATGCCTTTCACCGAGCATGAAAACTTTAATGTTWACATTTAAGTGTTCAGGCTGAATTTACCACCAACAGTTTTCTCATCTAATCATTTGGTTTTTTATAAGAACACAAAAATAGTTTAAGTTTGGTTCAAATAAGCTAAAACCTCCAGTTTATTCAGAAACTTGGAGTCTGAGATGAAAAAATGTTTTCTTTTATCCAGCAGCTGTTTTAGTKTAAAGTTAAAAGAAGAGCTTTAAAATAGGAATAAAAACTCCACAAGAACCAATTTTAAACCTCATTTTTTTGCTGCTCATTAAAAAAACTGTAATTAATTTGTTCTAATCAGAAGTTATATTTAAATTTGTCTCCATCTTATTTATTATGTTTACCTCAGTCAGGCACATCTCTTTCTGCACATAGAATTCAGTGTTTTATTTATTACTATTTTGTCACATTTTCCACGTAAACAGTCGAGCTGCAGCACGTTTACACTTGAAGTATTACCTTTCTTGTAGCGAGAGGCTTGATTGTTTCTTTTTGCTTTYGGGAGACAAATCTTCACTCTAACTTCCCTTCAGACGCTACAGTTTTAGTTTTATTACTGTTCAGATTTCAGACGGCTGATTGGAAGGCGATGTGTGCGGTTTGTTCCGACTGAATCGGCGATAAGATTTGTGATCAGTGCAGCTGTGTGTTTGTGGAGGTACTGTTGGTTCAGCAGGAGATTAGTTAACGTCCCTGTGTGAGGATCTAACCTGCTGCTGGACGTGTAATCATTACTAATTTAACCTGAATTAATAAAAACTGACATTTCAAATGAATCCAGTCCAATTTGATGGGATTTTTCCCCTGTTAGTTTAGTCTTTGCTAAACAGAAAATCATTTTTTGTTAAAAAAAAAACATGACCTAAAAGGATTTTTTTTTTCCAGAGGCCAGCAGATGTCTGTGTCCGAACATGAAATCTAACCTTTTTTAACATCACAACAAATTTACAGAGATGATGATTCTCTACAGCAGGGCTATTAAACTGGCGGGCCGATGACTTCCATYCRGCCTGCCAATGACTCCACCAAAAAAAAAATTGGGGAAAAAAACATTTTTTCAAGTTTGTTCCAACTTTATTTTGATTTCTGGCATAGAAATCAGATTCATCAAACAAAATCCATAAAAACTAACTTCCTTTCTGCTCCTGCGTCTTCATGGAGCTCCTCCTTACTGTCAACTTGAAACGATTTTATCTTTAATAAAATCGTGAGGTTTTTATTTCTTTTAGTCAATCGGACATCTCTTTCTTCAGCCACCTGTTCTGGGAGCAGCAGCTCTACTCTGGAGAACTGAACCTTCAAACCTCGTCTCTACTCTGAGCTCACGCTCCGTTCTTCCCTCACTTGTGAACGTATGGGGGGGGGTGACGACAGTACCTCCCCACGAACCAGGAGGGAGCAGTCCAACTGAGGACCATGGCCTCAGGTTTTTTATTTCCTTATAAATAAAACAACAGTAGGTTTGATATCCAAGCTAATCTCTGCAGGATATGTAATTAAATACTGTTTAAATAATGGAACAATGACGATACTTAAAAAGTCCAAGACCACCTGCCACCAGAGGGCCGCCTTCATCAAACTTTGCTCCTCTTGGAGTGACTCTCCGCCGGAAGAGCGGCCCGCTTGTTTCGATGGTGGGGGAACGTCGGCATCAGCTCCGGTTCACAMGCTGAGGAGCAGAGAGACTGTTTCATTTAACAACACGCAGAGAAAAACTGAAATTCATCTTCTGATTTTAATCAAGTTTGAAACTCACGCAGGGGTTTCTCTTTGAAGTACGAACTCTCCAAGCAATCCTTGGCTGTCGCTCTGGCTCAGAGAGAAGTCAAAACGAAAGTCTTCTGTTTACCATCATAAGGAGCTAACATTTATTCACAGTTTGGTAATGAAATATTTATAAAGGCTGACGTGACRAGGGGTCCCGAATTAGATTATTGACTTATTTACCTGCGCTGTGGGTTGTACATGAAGAGCAGGTTGAGCAGTCTGTGTCCAGCGTCAGACAGCCAGGTGAATTTATTCTTCAGGTTGTTGTACGGCTGCTTCCTCAGGCTGTACTGACCGATGAGGGGGAGCTGAGAGAAACCCTGCAGCACAAAGAAAGAACCGTTTCTATATCGCCCCGTTGAGCTGTGGCTTTAAAGACCCGGCAGCTGGAGTCTCACCGGCCAGATGTTCTCGTTGGGAGTTCCCAGCAGCTGCACGATCAGGTCCACCTGCTGGATCTCAGAGGTGCCAGGAAGCAGAGGTTTGTGGGCCAGCAGCTCAGCCAGGATGCAGCCGACAGCCCTGCAGCGACAGAAACATCTCATCCCGCTTCCCTCGCTGCTCACACCTGACCGCTTTTATTTTTGCTTCATTTAAACACGCTATTACAGCTTCAAAATAAAAGCACACATTTTAAAATGCATCACTGGTCTTTCGTTCTCACCACATGTCCAGAGCTGTAGTTTGGGTCTTGGTCCCCAGGAGGAGCTCTGGAGCTCTGTACCTGCGTGAAGGAGGGGCAGCGGTTACAGAGCTAATGATAAGAAAAGTGGATTACAGGGAGATTAAAATGACAAGTTTCCACTGAGGCAGTGCCAGCACAGCAAGAGAAGGGTTATCTGAATGTGCACAACGCTGACAGAGAAAAGTCAGGCTGAAACTGCCAGACGCATCTGAGTGAGGAGTGTGACTGAGACTCACCACAGGGTGACCACTCTGGGGGTCATGGGGGGCTGTGGTATGCCGTACATCCGAGCCAATCCAAAATCAGCTGCATGAAGCCAAACAAACAACGTTTAAAAGGCCTGCAGCAGACTGTGAGCCAACACAACCAAACCAATAAAATATGGCCGACACAAACAGCACAAAAACRAATACAATTTAGTTCATTTTACAGATGTCGTCTTAAAACTTGACATAGTAGTAGCTACGAGTCATCAACCGCTTTAGCAAACTTAGTCAAACTTGTTTGTTAGCAAAATATGTCACAAACCAGTGGAGGCAGTTTAATCCATTTAAAGATGGCCGCCAGAGTTAAACAAATTTAACCATAAAAGGAAAAATGCAGATTTCAACTTCAACAGAATTCAACTTAATTTATGTTAAAACCTACAAAGTAAGTTTTGCTTTGAGTCAGTTCTGTTTACAGCACACAGCTGACATATTTCATGAGTGATAGACGTCAAAGGTCAGCAGAATCACAGTGAAAGTGTTTCCGTCAGGAGAACAAACTCACCGATCTTAACGCAGCCTTTGTCCGTCATCAGCAGATTAGACACCTTCAGGTCCCTGATAATGAGATTGAGGAGGAGGATGAAGCAGAGGCATATCTTCTGTCCCGTTAAAGCTCGGTGTTTACAAACACACTGCTGTATGTGGGAAATGTTCCAACTTAAAGGCACGTTTCTGACTCCGCTCCAACTTCAGGCCAACTCATCTGACGCAGAGTCGTTCAGCCGCTCCTCAAAGAAACTATAAGCTTAAAGTTTGCTTGTCTCAGTAACTCAGACATAAACCATCCACATTTTGAAATATAAAGCACCTCACTAGGGTTGGGCAATATTGGCAAAAAAATTAATCACGATTAATTGGGGTATTTAGCCGATAACGATTAATTTGATGATTAATCCCCTGGRGTCCATGTCTTAAGGGCTCGACACACGGGAGGCGATGTCGCTCGCTCTCCATTCATTTCCTATGGAGCCTGTGCGGTGAAGCGACAATCGCTTGCCCTCCTCCAGCTAAGCGACCGGCGAAAATAGTGCATGTGAAATTTCGCGCTCGTACACGTAGACGTGCACACGTGAGCTTGCGACGCGACATATGAAAGTTGAAAAATGTTCAACTTTTGTCGCTGTCGCTTAGCGTACAACCAATCAGCGAGGGTTTCATTGACTGACCAATGAGAGGAGAGTATGCTACACATTGCCGTTAGCTAACACTTTCACCAAATGATTACTAAAAAGTTTTGTGGGAATTTATTGGCACCAGGGTGAAGTTTATGGTAAGTTTTTCCTCATAAAACTGTATCTTGATGCGTTTGTTTTTCAATATCATTAGTATCGCAAGATTTGTTTAGTTTACACGTCCATAATGCACACCCCCCTTCAGAGTCAAGAACCAATCAAATTTCGTGAAGACAAGCGACCTGAAAGTGCGATTCGCAACGCTGCGATCGCTATCGCGTCCCGTGTGTCGGGTTTCATCCTGGCTGCGATGACAGCCGTTAATCGCTGTAGTTTGTCGCTGCCCGTGTGTCGAGCCCTTTAGTCACATGACCAATTTAGTGGGAAAGATTGCTCTTCATAAAAATCTGTTCCAAATTGTGTCAAAATTACAGACTTCAGGCTATACATAAATTTTTAAACTGTGTTGATAGATAAATAAATTACAAAACCTTTTTTTTTTWAATGTTCGTCATATTTGAAGTGGAGAGGAGCACCGAGCGGATTGACTGGATAAATTTCCCCTGGTGGCATTAATCCTATTAATCGTCAAGTGCCAAAAATTAATCGATTAATGTTCTTCTGACGATTAATTGCACACGATACGATTATGCCCAACCCTACACCTCACAACCAAATGTACAATGAATTATGCCCTTTTTGTCAAACGTTTGTATCAAAAATTTGCATTGAATCAGCTGTAAGWKTAAATAACACAATGACTGTCTGTTAGTTTTTAGCTGTGGGAGTCTGAGGCTGACCTGTGGATGATAAAGTTGTGATGCAGATATTCCAAGCCTCTGAGCAGCTGAAGGATGATACACTTGACCTAGAAAAGAACACATCCAATCTAAAATACAGACTACTGACAACAATACACCGTATATTGATTTTATTCATTTGTTAAATTTATTAAATTTAAAACCTGAGAGAAAAAATTAAACCGAGCCCATCAAAGTTTGTTCTTCTTTTTTGAAAGTGCAGTTTTAGTTACAATAAAAATGTGAAAACCTGCAGCATTTCTGCACATAAAAGTTAATTAAAATGTTTTATGGAGGCCTTTTTAATGTTAAACATGAGTTAGATGTGAGCCTGAAAAACATTTAAATTAAAAAAGTTTAAAACAATTTTAAAATACTCCGCTCGATCCTACCTGAGCCTCTGAAAATGGCGTCTGCATGTTTTCCAGCAGGCTGGCGAGGTCCTGCTCACAGTAACTCATCACCAGAAACAAACTGAACAGGAAACAGAATAAAAACATCAAACATAAATGTAAAAAMTACAGCTCCACCAGTCAGTTTTTGAACACGTCTGAGCAGTACCTCTCCAAATGGCTGCCGACAACAACCTGTTTCAGCTCCACGATGTTGGGATGCCTCAGCCTCAGCAGCAGCGTGATCTCTCTGAGGCTGCTGATGGGGATTCCTGATGGGAAAGCAGAAAATTTTACACATAAACACCGGAACAACAGAAACAGCTACAAGTGTCCCTGTAGTAGAATACACAGAACAAAATCAGACATTTAAAAAAAAAACGGTGGAGATCAACTGCTTTAACATTACTTCCTCTTTAATGTGAAATTACTTATTAAAGATCACTTTGAAAATTTAAAAAACAGAGGATCTCACCATCTTTCTCTTTGTCCATGCGGACTTTTTTCAGAGCAACAATCTCATCAGACTTGGTGTCTCGGGCTCGATCTAAATAAGAGAGCTTGTTTATTTCTGTATTTATTTATAATAAAGCTGATTAACAACAGTGTTGCACACACACTTACACACAATGCCGTATGTTCCTTCTCCTATTCGGTTTAACTTCTCAAACTCTCTGACACTTCTGCAACTTCCAAACTGGAGAAGCAAAAKAAGATAAAAAGTTTGCTGCAAAAGTGATACACTGAAGCTGATTTTTAAATTATCCACCTAACATTAGAGGATTAAAATATCCAAAGCAAGATAAGCATCAAAATATTCCATACTGTTCTAAATGTGTTGGTCACAAAAAAGATATCTTAAACAAGGGACTGCAATGTTACACAAAATATTTCTAATTTCTTCAGAGTGAACCAAATTATGACCTCCTACTTTCACCATAAAACGTAAACATATCTTTAAGTTATGTTTGACATAAATTAAAATCTACAAATAAACTAAATCTTTGGCATGAATTTTAGCAATTATGTTCCCTACATTTGATATTTTGACTAACTAAAACATATGCCGAATTTTTTTCCAAGTTATGTAATTTTTCTACATACTGTTAATTCGTGTCTTGTATGTGGTGTATTGTGGCAGATCCACAAAATCTTTAAACTACCAGAGTCTATCATTGAAGTTCGGCGAGTATCTCCTCGGAGCTGTTATTTACTTACCCTGTCGTTTTGAGGCACTGTGAAGGTTTTATTGTCTTTAATGGATTTTAGCCTTATGGTGTCCGGTTCGTCCTCTCCAACAGTCTCCATTTTTTATATCCACGGATGTTTTTTTATAGTTCAAAAGAGGAAAAGAAACGTTCATGCAGTCTTCGGCTAGCTAGCCGCCATTGTTGCTTGTTTTGGAGCCGCCGAGTGGACAACAAATAGGTTTCCCGGAGTTTATCGCCGTTTAAAACCACAGGGAAGGTTCTGCAGCTCAAATCCATATTAAATCCCGCTTGAGAAGCTGCAATTAAAAAGAAAACTAAATTGTTGTATTTATTTTTGAAAAACATTTAATTAAGTAGCCTATATAAGATCTATAAAAACAAATGATAATTAACATGTTTAAGTAAAATCTAAAAGTATACACACATTTTATTTCCAAAAACATACTGGGTCTCCATTTATTTTGAGAAATTCCAGCATTTTTTCAGATTCAAAGCTCAACCTTTCTCTGAACTGAAGGCTTTAAAAAGCTCTTTAGATCTTGGCAGGAAACCCTTCAGCTCAGCTCAGTGGAAATGTCACAGATAAAAATACTGTAAGACAGACATCATCACTTTGTAAATAAATTCTAACCGTCAAGTCTGCAGCTCCTAAATCAAAATACTGATTTTAAATTCAGTTCAAATAATACAATTTTTTTCTGTTATTATCTTCATTTAAAATACTGACGAAAAGTGGCTTCTACATCAAGAAGTATCTGCTTTTTGTAGTTTTAAAGACTTTTTCTTCACATCATTAACTGAAAATATTAAGGGTTACCTGACGCAGCAGGTAACGCTACTGCCTGGTTATTTTCTTCCCTACGATAAAGGGAGCAGAATTGGGCCGGCGTTCCTTCATGGCATCAGCTATGGTGATGTTGGATGACGTGGCGTAGATGTCCTCTCGTGACGGCGCCGTGACGATGATGACAGGAGTCCGATCGGACGAGCTGGATGAATCTGTCTCATTGTTGGGCTGCGACGAAAGGGGCATCTCTGAAACTGAGAGGAAAATAAAAATTACATTTCAGAAAACAGCAAATAAACTGTTGAGTAATGTTAAACAATACACTTTTGAGCGATGATTTAAATCAAGTTTTCTCAAAATACAATCATAATTTGACTACTCTTATTTTTAAATTTAGGAAAATAAATAAATCCAGCAAAGACCTGAGAAATGCTTAATTATTTTAATTCATCAACTTCTGTATGTTTGTTTTTCAGGGAACACTCGTTTTTGTGGAGCTAAAATTGTATTTTAAGATCTCCACAGGAAAGATTTTATAATTTTGTACGATGTTAAAAGTCACGGAAGTCTCCACAGAATAAAAAGGAACCATTTCAAAGCAAATAAAAAGCTACACTACTTCATGCCCCACCTTTGCCACCCTAAGAAAATAAATCTTTAGGTCCGCCACTGCTTATATTCTAAATCCTAATCTCTCAGTTGGCTTTAATCTAGACTAGGACTGAATTGTGTGGACCAGTTTTTTTATTTTTATTGAAATGACTCAGACTTCCTGCTGCTTGACGTTAAAAAATCCACCTGGCTGCCAGCTTTGGCCTGAACTGCAGCTGAAGGGGAGCTAAACTACTGCTGACATGGATGTGTGTGTGTGTGTGTGTGTGTGTGTGTGTGTGTGTGTGTGTGTGAGAGAGACACCATGAGGACCAGCCCCAGTATAATTGGATTATACGTGTTTCCTAACAGTGTTAAGGCTGCTGCAGCTGTATCTTATGAGGACTACCTGGAAGAGCAATGATTAAACTGAATAACTAATTACAATTAGATTCCTTGAAGAAGTCGCTCTCAGTGTAACAAACCTTACAGCCCTGGCAAAAATAAATAAATAAATAAAATGAAGTCTCCTAAATAATAACTAAATCATATTTATTCGGCAGCACCGAAGAAATTTTAACGGCGATTTAAATAAATACATTAAACTTTAAATAACATATGTTGTAAAGCTTTTTATAAAAAAAACCTAAGTGTTCAGGTGTAAACAACCTTCCATTAATCTATTTGCCAATCGGAGTGATTTTACCTGAATCTTCTCTCTGACTTGCTCCAGACCCCATCGAGCTCCAGTCAGCCGTGACAAACTTCACACATGTCCTCGTGCATGGTGCTCACACATCGGCCAGATCCATGAAACGGCACGTTTGGAGCCGCCGACTTCCTGTTCCCATCTCTGTCCGTGCTTCCGTCTGAAGGAGGGAGGCTAATCCTCTGCTGCCGCTTATGAGCACATTCTGGATTTAAAGGGCACGTCTCGTTCAAAGCGTGAATAAAAGAAACAGCCTCAAAGGAAAGTTAGAAAACCAGCACAGGTTTAAAAAAATTAAAACAAATTAAAAAAAATCACTGCAGACCATTTCAATTTTTGAATATTTGAATTGAGGTCAAAACAGAACTTGCCACAAAGTGTAAAGGCGTAAAATAAAAACGTGTGCTTTTATATTTCCCAAAATATAACTTTAATTTGAACAAAAACAAAAAGCTGACGTGGCAGCAAAAACTTACACGAACTGAAGGTAAAAGATCACGAGGAGAGCCGTGACAGCATTAAAAGATGTGAGCCTGTTTTTAAACTTGGTGTGGATAACTGAGGAAGTAACTGAACACTGGATTCTACACTTTAAGGTGGTCGTTAATTAATTTGGTGACACTGGTCTAATTTCTAATTATTTCCTCATGAAGAAGAACATGTAACTGCTGTTTATCTCTCTCTCCTGAGCTCACAGACATTCTGCCACCCAGCGTCGAAGATTCTCCAACTCGTCTTCATCCTCATCGTCCTCCAACTCCGCTTCATTAAAAGACAATAAAATTAACAATTTGCATAAATTTATTATGATCCATGAAAGCCCAGACGTTCTTACCAGGATGAGACGATAATGAAGTGGACAACACAGGAGAAGAAAAGACTCTGTCCTCTGTTCCATTCAGATTTTTCTCCAACCTAAACACAAAGAAACAAAACTGTATTAAAAAGATCAAAACTTTTCCCAGATGTTGATGCACAATGTGTGGATCTACTGACGAGAGAAGATCAAAAAGCATCCTGTTCTTTTCTCATTTAACTACCAAATGTGCTCACAAGGATTCTTCCGCCCAGCGTCGAAGATACTCCAAGTCATCTTCATCCTCATCTTCCATCTTTGCTTTGGTTGCAGGGAAAAGCAGATTAGCCATTAATGCTACTGCGAAGCTAACCCTGGAGTGTTAAACGGTTCTTACCAGGATGCGAGGCTGACGCAGCGAGCAACACCGGATGAGAAACGTCTCCGTCCTCCTCAAAGAGGTTCTCATCCTGACTCCTCTCCAGCTTCTCCGGCTCTGCCACCAGCTCATCCTGAACAGAACAAACACACAGATCTGGTTAAGATCTGTAAATAAAATAAAAATCATTTAAGCTGAAGTTATTATTTGTGTACCTCATCAAATTCCACCTTCTGTTTGACGGAAAGGTTGTGGCTGTTGAGCACGTCCTCCTTTTCTGTGATGTCATTGGTCAGGTCGTGCACCACGTTGATCATCTCACTGCAACTGTCAGCAAAACATCAAGCTGAATCGTTTTGTTTACGCTCCCTTTGGCACGAGTTCTTTGGAAACTTTCTCGGGATTGTGGGTCAGTTAATTTAGCTTGTTACTGTTTTTAATCTGAGTGATATTTATTTTTTCCGTACATGTGTTCGTGAGCAGAACTCATGGCCTCAATGGTACAATCCAACTGATTGAGATGGTCACAGCGCTTCTTCTCATCTCCTGCAGAGCAGCTGTGAAGACAGCATGGTGAGACAAAATATAAGAAAACACAAACTCCTGCTGACTTCACTTAGAATCACAACTAAGCATAAGGATGCAACCTTAACTTAAAGCAGTGGTTCCCAAAGTTAGGGTCGGGACCCAAAGTGGGGTCCCGAAACATCAAGGTGGGGTCCTGAAAAAAATTTCTGAATTAATTACATTTTTGCCTTATTTGTTACAAAGGAGTGAGGTTAGTATATTTAAAATGGATAAATGTAGTATTAAAAATATTGTTACTATGCCCATGTTTTGTTGACCTGATACAAATGTTTATCATCCAAAAATATCTGTGGGAACAGGTCTCTGCTACTGTTATTTTGTGGGTCAAAAGCTGAAAAGTTTTGGAACCAGTGCACTTTGGTTCCCAAAGTTGGGCTTGGGACCCAATTATGGGT